CTGAGAATTAATGGTTTGTTTTTTTCCAACCAATTTCAATTTGTTAAATGATGGAGGCCATTTATCTTAGAACCAGTGCTGTCAGTTTAACACATTAATTTAGTGTGAGTAATTATAAAAATAAATAATGTGCAACAAATTAATGCATTTGATCATGCCACCCGACCCTTAAGTAAATTCCGTAATGAGGAATTGGTCCATCCTACCTCTGGATGGACCAATTCAAGCTGCAGTGACCACTTTTTATCAATCCGTATTCAGTGCTCTCCAGCTGCTATTACATGTAACACGTCAAACCATACTGTACCACACATCCTGCAAGAGTTTACCTCCAACTTTTCCCAACATACCAGTCTGGTAGATTTTTAGTAATCCCGAAGACCTTGTTGGTTATTGGGGTTGGAGCTAAACTCTGCAGGACTACTGGAGCAGGATTGAACACCTGTGCAAAAGGTGATTCATTATCATTGATCAGATTCTGTTTCTGGATTTTCTGGAAGATCATTTCAACTTTTTAGAAAAAAAACCCAAAGAGCTAAGTTTTAAGTAGGAAAATGGTGCCAAAAAGGGCCTAATCATTGTAAAGCTAGGTTCCTAAACAAACGCCCAACCCCTGCATACTTTAGTGACAGAGCCCTTTCTTTTAATTAATCGAAAGTAAAAATATGTTTCAGGGCCCTAACTTGCAGTGTGTGTTAGGGCCCGGGAACCCTTTGTATATTTAAGGGGCCATGAGGCTAGAGTCGTCTGCGCGCACTTTGTGCACTAATGTCTGAGATTCTTTTGAGGTCCCTTTGGCCCAGTTCATAAACCTGCCCTGGTGTCAAAGAATGTTAGTTGTGTGATGGATCTCGTCAGATTCAGTCTGTTTTCACATCATTGCCTGACCACCGTCTCAGGGAGTGGAACAAGCCAGTCATCCGAGGGAATCTGTCAACTTGCTGAAGTCCATGAGAATGTGACATGTCCTGCGTTAACCTTTAATGGTGTTGGGGAAAATTGAGTCAATATAACACTTTCAATATTGCCAGTGTTGGAACTGACGGAATTCACAGACATGAAACTGAAAGCACCTTGACGGTTTTTCATAAATGATTGGAGACAATATCTTATCACTGTGATGGGATTCTTCACAACGATTCATTGACCCTGAGTTTGCACTTGTATTTGAGGAGAGTTGTTAACATGAGTGATTGTATGTTGGTTTTGTAGAAGCTTTAAAGCTTTTAACCCACCCTGCCTCCTTCTAACATAATCAATACTGACACGGTCCCGTCAATTATCCCAGTTTGCACATCAAGACCTCCCTTGAAATCCAGAACATTTGCTTCAGTTAGGCAAATGTCAGCCTCCTGTTTTTGAACTTCAGTTCTCACTGTTGTTAATGCTAATCCAGCCTGCAGGAAGGAAAGGGAGAAAAGTGTCTCCTGAGATGAGCTCCCAAAAATTCGGCTTCTGTGAGCATCTGAGAAAGATTGACTGTGTGTGAACACATACATGTACAGTGTCTGAGAGAAAGAGGAAAGTTTAAAGAGGCAATTCTCATTTTGAGTAGTAGATTGTTTTAGGAAAGAAAATGCACTCATAATTAATCGTGAATAACCTGAGTTAATCAGATTTAAGGAATTTGCATGCTTTTAACTTAATAACAAACCATTACTAAAGCCCCAAGTATACTTCAGTGTCCATGCTCCGCGATGGTCCGTGTGGAGCGCAACTTTGAGTCCGCTCGTACGGATGTGTGAGTGACTTATGTACTGCGCTGAACATGTCTTTCCACGCTCGCGGCCAAAGGATTATGCTTTGAAAGGGTTGTGCAGGAGATGGAGCGGAACACGAAAAATGAAGTATACCCCGGGCCTTAAAGCTACACTGTGTGATTTTTACCCCCATATAGCGGTGAAAAGGTAAATGACCATCCAGGGAATATTAGTTTCTGTTCCTCTCAATTCCGATTTCGTTTTAACTCCTACGGTGGCCAATGTAGTCCAAGATTAACATGGCTTCCAGTTCGACCCCGTCCATGAGTGTTAACTCAAACGTAAACGCGAAAGGCGAAGCTTGAATTAACGGGTATGTCCCTCTTTGGCTAATGTACTTTCAAGATAGCGGGGCAACATGGCGACCGACATTAGAACCCCTTACCCGTATGTATTTCCAATGGCATATTATACACTCACGAGAATACTTTATTACTTGAACGAAGTAAATATACATTAATGAGCATGTATATTTTTGAAAGAACTAAGTGTTTTTAGCTAAGAATAAACTAAAAGAGTTACACAATGTAGCTTTAAAGGTACAGTATGCAGGATTTTCGCAGTAAAATATCCAAAAACCACTAGGCCAATGTTTTATATTTTGTTTTGTTGATTACTTGCAATATCCCAAAAATATTCAGCATTGAGTCCCTACGGTTTACGGCAGGTTTGCGCTCGCACTGCGATAGTAACCATGGCGACAGACGTGGACAACTGGGTCATTGCCGTTATGCCTACCAAGACGCTCATGCTGTTGTTGTTTTGTTCTAACATTATGGACCATGGCAAGCGGACTTTGAGATAAAAAGTGGACTAAAACGAAGATCAACATCTTTCGAGATGCCGAGAGCTCCACGTCTGCGACTAACTTCAACTTTACAGAGATGCGAGTGTTGGATGTACTTTATTAAAAACAAGTGAGCAAATGTACATAAAACTAATCAATGTTATTTAGTTCAACATGATGAAAAGTTAAAAAATGATCTGTATGTTATTCTAATGTCGATCTAGCTCACTGCTAGTCTCATACAGCCAACAAACAGCCTAACTAACAACATTCAACACACTTTAGTGTGATAGTGTAACTGTTAGAGCAAGTGAAACAGCGCTGCGTTACCTCAAGTTTAATTAGTCTAATAAACTGACCTGTGAAAGTATTAATTCAGCATTTGCGTGTAGTTCGGTAGAATGAAATGTCTTTATTCTTTTATATCCGCGGGACTCGCGTTGCGTGTGGCACTGGTATGAGTCTAGCAATCGCGCCCTGCTTCATACCACAGTCATGCCAAAAACGTCAATGTATTCACTCATCCATTAAAGATCAATCAGCTTGACGTCAAGATTCATAATTCCGCTTAATACGGAAAATGCGTTGTCATTATACGCCTTTGTTTTTGTAAGAGGTTAGCGACCCCTGGTGGCGAAAATTCCTGCATATTGTACCTTTAAAACATAGTACATAAATTTGTACTTGTACCTGTACTTTTAGGTGAATCTCATGAATAATGTCAAGAACATGTGAGGGTCAAATTCCATCCATCCGTTTGTTTAGCCACTTGTCCATCCATCCATCAGTCCATTTGTTTGTTTAACCACTTGTCTGTCCATCCATCCATCCATTATTATTTTTTACATTACTGGAAAGGAATGGGAGATTGTATGGCATTATTTTTTTTTCATTCTTTAATTGATATATTTAATTGACATTTAATTTTGTTTTTCCTGGTGAAATATGACTTGATTACATATGTAATATGGAATATAATAATATGAAGATTCCAGTGGAGGCCACAGTATGAAAACTGTTTTAGTAGACCTCTTTTATTATTGAAAGAAGTTTTACTTTCACCACATTCAGACTTTACATCTGATGCCTAGCCGTTGAGCAGTTTCCTCAGAGGAGACCAGAGCGTGGACTCACTGAACCTACACGCACAGAATCTCAGTGTCAGCAGCCCCGGCCCTATCGATCTCTCTTTTGGATTGAAAAGTTAATTGCACCTAACGCTTTTTCACTGAGAATGTAATTTGCTCTGGTTTGCTGGAGGCAGTGAAATGAATTGATTAAATGAAAATCTGTATATGCCATAGTCTGGGAGGTGTGTATACTGCAGAGAGAGAGAGAGAGAGAGAGAGAGAGAACAAATGGGCAGATGGGTTCATTTTGATCATCTTTTTAAGAAGATTCAGTAGCTTTCTGTAATGTTCTTTTATTGTTAAAAAGCTTTCAACATAGTCCTACAGCTTCCCTCCATCGCTGAAAACCCAGCGTGACTCACTTGAAGCGCAGTCCTGCCTGAGGCAGTATGTATGCTGAACTAAGATCAGCTTTTGCCTTTTATATCCTAACATGCAAGACTTGTTTAGACCAGGGAGAACTGATGCTAAATCAGCCTAAATCAGATCTCTCACATTAGAAAGATTACGAGTATAAGCCTTGGTTACTTGTGGGAAATCTCTCAGAGGAGATTAAATGGCTAATGGGGAACATACCCCTGATTTGTACATCATATTCTGAGACTTTTTGTGCACAAACGTCAAGAGATTTTCTTTTCACCCCCTGCACTCTTTCACAACATTGACATACAAGCATTTTTGGTACCTCAAAGAACAGTTCGTAAAATAACATTATATAATATATATATATATATATATATATATATATATATATATATATATATATATATAACTAATTTTCTTTCATTTGTGGAATGGAAAGGATGCATTAATGTTTGAACTCTTGATGCCTGAGGCAGTATGTATGCTGAACTAAGATCAGCTTTTGCCTTTTATATCCCAACATGCAAGACTTGTTTAGACCAGGGAGAACTGATGCTAAATCAGCCTAAATCAGATCTCTCACATTAGAAAGATTACGAGTATAAGCCTTGGTTATTTGTGTGAAATCTCTCAGAGGAGATTAACAAACATCCGAGATTTTCTTTTCACCCCCTGCACTCTTTCACAACATTGACATACAAGCATTTTTGGTACCTCAAAGAACAGTTCTTAAAATAACACTTTATTTATATATATATATATATATATATATAACTAATTTTCTTTCATTTGTGGAATGGAAAGGATGCATTAATGTTTGAACTCTTGATGCCAATAGGGAATCTTTGTTTTTAATATTGATCTGAGATCAGATGGTGTAAACTCTTTAAACTTCATAAGTCTGGATTCTAAATAAGTTCCACCATTATTTATTTATTTATTTATTTTTTGTCTTTTCAGAAAATACTGGAAGTTGCGGAGACCGGAAATACGTGGAATAAGTGACAAGTGACAACAACCCAATGAAAGAACTCAAGGTGTACACAAGCTGTAAACTATCTAGTATTATATGTTTCACTGAATTTAAATATGCACTCCTTGCCATATTATCCACAAAATGGCTTGTTGAAAATTGTATTATATTTTCCAGGCATTGCAGTTGCATGCATTGTTTTATGATTTCTCTTAGTCTATTAAACGGTTATTGACATAATGAAAGAGGTGAAAATGGGAATCCAGTTAATGTACTGTATGATGGGGTCAAATGACCAGGTTAATTTGGTTAGTCATTTTTATTCCTGTTTAAATGTCTGAATCTGTAAAAAAAAAATCTGTAAAAAAAAAAAAAGTTGGAAAGAGATGGTTATACCTTGGGACTTAAAAATCCCAAACAAAAAGATTGATATAATTTTATGAGGTATTGAATTGACCAGTTTCTTTGACTGAGTTTCTACCAAAGATAGAGCAGTGCCTTTAAACATCACTATCACATTTACCTGTTATGGCTTTTGTTTACAGAGTCAGGCCACTTCACCCTGTACTGTACTTGCATTAAGCATATTCAATAATTCTCTGCCTGAAAATAAACATTTTCAATAATGTTCTTCATGCTTGAGATATCCTTAGAGCTTGTAGTGAGATGTGTGTGTGTTTAGAGGATGCCCTCTATCAGTCATAAACCCAGCAGCTGCCTTATTCATACAATAAACGATACGTGTATGAATATCTGAACATCCAATTTATCAAAAGAAAGCCTGTTTTATTCTAGCTTCATGCATTTTTTTATATCAAGACTTAAATATGGGCAAATTTCATAAAAAAGCTACATTTTGAGCAAAAAGCTGAGAAAATCACGTTTTTATCAAAGACTATACCCAGATGGGAATCAGAATGATGATCAAAACATAGATGGAGTAGATCAAGTCCATCAACACCCCCAAAGCTTCACATCACTCAGTCCTATAGCTCGTCTTGGGTCGACATTTCATTCAGTAAATTTAGGCAGTTTAATGTTGATGATCGCGTTATTTTGATCGCTTGTTTCACCTTTTTTGCATGTGTATTGACCCAGAGTCTCTTTCCAGGGTAGTCTCAGCCAGGTAGGATTAGGGGTGGGGTTAGGAATCAGGGGGCGGAGTTGGGTAGGATTGGGGTAGGGTTAGGGTTCAGGGGGCGGAGATGGGTAAGATTAGGGGTTGGGATAGGGTTCAGGGGGCGGAGATGGGTAGGATTGGTGTGGGGTTAGGGACAGAGATGGGTAGGATTAGGGGTGGGGTTAGGGATCAGGGGGCAGAGTTGGTTAGGATTGGGTGGGGTTACGGTTCAGGGGGTGGAGATGGGTAGGATTAGGGTTCAGGGGCGGAGATGGGTAGAATTGGGGTGGGGTTAGGGATCAGGGACAGAGATGGCTAGGATTTGGGGTGGGGTTAGGGATCAGGGGGCAGAGATGGGTAGGATTAGGGGTGGGGTTAGGGATCAGGGGCGGAGATGAGTAGGATTAGGGATCAGGGGCATAGATGGGTAGGATTAGGGGTGGAGTTAAGGTTCAGGGGCGAAGATGGGTAGGATTAGGGGTGGGGTTAGGGATCAGGGGCGGAGATGGGTAGGATTAGGGGTGGAGTTAAGGTTCAAGGGCGAAGATGGGTAGGATTAGGGGTGGGGTTTAGGTTCAGTGGCGGGGATAGGTAGGATTAGGGGTGGGGTTAGGGATCAGGGGGCGGAGATGAGTAGGATTAGGGATCAGGGGCATAGATGGGTAGGATTAGGGGTGGAGTTAAGGTTCAGGGGCGAAGATGGGTAGGATTAGGGGTGGGGCTAGGGATCAGGGGCAGAGATGGGTAGGATTAGGGGTGGGGTTAGGGATCAGGGGGCAGAGATGGGTAGGATTAGGGGTGGAGTTAAGGTTCAGGGGCGAAGATGGGTAGGATTAGGGGTGGGGTTAGGGATCAGGGGCGGAGATGGGTAGGATTAGGGGTGGAGTTAAGGTTCAAGGGCGAAGATGGGTAGGATTAGGGGTGGGGTTAGGTTCAGTGGCGGGGATAGGTAGGATTAGGGGTGGGGTTAGGGATCAGGGGCGGAGATGAGTAGGATTAGGGATCAGGGGCATAGATGGGTAGGATTAGGGGTGGAGTTAAGGTTCAGGGGCGAAGATGGGTATGATTAGGGGTGGGGCTAGGGATCAGGGGCAGAGATGGGTAGGATTAGGGGTGGGGTTAGGGATCAGGGGGCAGAGATGGGTAGGATTAGGGTGGGGTTAGGGATCAGGAGCGGAGATGGGTAGGATTAGGGGTGGGGTTATGGATCAGGGGCAGAGATGGGTAAGATTAGGGGTGGGGTTAGGGATCAGGGGGCAGAGATGGGTAGGATTAGGGGTGGGGTTAGGGATCAGGGGGCGGAGATGAGTAGGATTAGGGATCAGGGGCATAGATGGGTAGGATTAGGGGTGGAGTTAAGGTTCAGGGGCGAAGATGGGTAGGATTAGGGGTGGGGCTAGGGATCAGGGGCAGAGATGGGTAGGATTAGGGGTGGGGTTAGGGATCAGGGGGCAGAGATGGGTAGGATTAGGGGTGGGGTTAGGGATCAGGAGCGGAGATGGGTAGGATTAGGGTGGGGTTAGGGATCAGGGGCAGAGATGGGTAGGATTAGGGGTGGGGTTAGGGATCAGGGGGCAGAGATGGGTAGGATTAGGGGTGGGGTTTAGGTTCAGTGGCGGGGATAGGTAGGATTAGGGGTGGGGTTATGGATCAGGGGGCGGAGATGAGTAGGATTAGGGATCAGGGGCATAGATGGGTAGGATTAGGGGTGGAGTTAAGGTTCAGCGGCATAGATGGGTAGGATTAGGGGTGGAGTTAAGGTTCAGGGGCGAAGATGGGTAGGATTAGGGGTGGGGTTAAGGTTCAGTGGCGGGGATAGGTAGGATTAGGGGTGGGGTTAGGGTTCAGGGGGCGGAGATGGGTAGGTTTAGGTATATGTAAGGTGGACATGGATTTGCTAATGCTAATGGATTCACAGTCCTGTGAGCATGTAAGATATGCTGCTGCTGCAGTCATACATAAATCCCATAGCAGATTGAGACAGGTGGAGCTGGGTTTCAGAGGAACTCTGTGAAACTAGCGTAAAAGAAAAAAATAACCCAGACTATTTAAATGTTAACAAGCAATCTCATAGACTGTAGGATCAGCAGTGGTCATTGTGCAAGTGATTATATGGGATTTATGAGATAATATATATACGTATATTTAAATTGAGCAGCTTTTTGGTAGTTTCTCAATGTGAATCTTAGTTACAGGTTTGGGTGACCAGGTCTTAAGCACAAACATTTTGTTTTACTAGGGTAACTAAGGAGTAAAATCCATGTGCACACTTAACTGAGAGGGAAAACAGGGATTGCACAGAATTGTGTTATGCATGTAAACGGTCATTTGTCATCTTGTCTTGATCGAAACTGCTGATTAAAGATGCATTTGACATTACAGAAAAGTATTTAAAAATACTTCAGGTTTTGGGAGCCAAATAACTTTGCTTCAGAAAACATCAAGTGTGAAGACCCAGAGGACAGAGGGCAGTGCGACTAGCCAACTTACAACTCAGTCTAATTAAGGAACGGCTCGTCACACTTTCTGAGACTGATGCGGTCTCAGCAGTTTCCACGGAGCAGCAATGACACTATGCAGAACGTGTCTGTGTGCTCGCAAGGTGCTCTACTGGCAACACATACAGTGTGTTTGACCATTAAACTGATGCTGGACATGTACTTGGATGAGAAGTGTGTACTTGAAACACCCCTGAAAAGCTCTGGGTTATTGGAAACTCCTTGGCAGCACAAGCGGGCCGTAAATTAGGAGCAAATACCTTTCAGCAGCAGGGAGTTGTGGGTAGCGCAACCCTTGCCAAGTCGAACTTCTTTCCACAGTGTGTAGTCCTCTGAACTGAGAGGTTTACTATTGTACAGAAAGCCCACATATGCGAACTTGGATCAATTTACTTTCATATCGTGACGTATTTTGGAGTGAAACAAGATATTCAAGGAGAAAACCGTAGTGACCCACCCCACCCCCACACCAACAGGGGGAAAAAAAGGACAAAAGAAGTCCAGGTTTAAAGACAACATATTTCACATTTAATTTTGGACATCACCATAGCTATATGTAACTTTTAAGGACACGTTTCAGCAACAGAACATTTATTCATTTTGCTTGTTCAAAGTAGTTTTTTTTTTTCTTTTTCTTTTAACATCAGTACATGGTTTGGTCCTGTAACATTTTGTGGTGGTTCTTTTCCTCTGAATGAACGGGGATCAAAAATGTCAAACGCACAACACATGCACATGTCGTTTAGCCGTTTACACAAAGGTAGGACAAAGTCAGAGACTGACATAATGCATATAGCACTGTTTTCTATTCACCCTCCCTTGCTCTGTTCTTGACACTCATATCTAATAAGGCTATATTACAGCTATGAACAAGAAGTCCAACACTGCATTTCTAAGTGTAGAGCACCATATTTACACCAATATTTACAGACGTTACATTTTAAAACAAAAAGACAAAACAAACAGAAATACTTAAGATAAATTTGGGTCAAATGAGCAATTTGAAGGATGTACAGGTTTGAAATAGAAAAACAAAACAAAAAAATATATATATTTACATATAGCTGCAACTTATAGCTTAGCTTATTGCAAATGCCCTTTAAATCTCTCAGCCTATTCTTTCACACTCAGTCCTGTAGAGCTTTGACTTATTTCCATACCATATGATGGTCAGCCAATGACCAACTCTTGAGCCATATTTCCTGAAAGAGTGGCCATCCACTGAATAGATGACATACCATTTAATTATTTATCTGTGATCGGGTGGCAAAAAAAGCCCCATTTTATCCCAATATAAGCCGGTTTAAGGCTCGCATCCAAAACAGCAGTCCTTTCAAAAAATAAACTTTCAAAAAAACATATGTACATACTTATAAACAGCCCGTAAGGCCAGTCAATTCTGAGACTGGTGTATACAGTAACTCAAAGCTGAATGGTACAAGAACAACAGGGTTGAAATAGATCGGAATCTGCAACCGAAAGTGATTTCTTAAAGGCAAACTCCACTTTTTTTTGGAAATATGCTCATTTTACAACTCTCCCAGAGTTAAACAGTTGAGTTTTACCTTTTTCGAATCAGTTATCAGTAACCAGACAGTTTCTGGTCTCATTGACTTCCATAGTAGGAAAAAAAATATACTATGGAAGTCAATGAGACCAAAAACTGCCTGTTTACTAATATTCTTGTAAATATCAGAAAATCGTCTGAATACATTCGAAAACGGTAAAACCCAACTGTTTACCATTGGGGGAGTGGTAAAATGAGCCTATTTCCAAAAAAAGTGGAGTATCCCTTTAAGCCAAAGAAGAGTCCTTAACGTTAAAATCATTTCTCCATTCAAATTTTGTCTTGGAATAATGACATTTGAAAAGAGGGGTACTGGCTCAATGGTTCTCATTAAAATATTCAGTACAACACAAGCTGAATACCGTCGCTGTCTGCTGGTTTGATTTCGCTCGGGCAGAAACGGCATTGTAAAGGCTAATTATCCCCACTGTGATT